GTTGCTTGTTGTCTCTGATTGGGAACCATACTTAGGCAGCCTTTTGTACACTTGTCATTTGTGGGATCTTGTTCCGTGTAGGTTTGTGTTCATGACCAAGGACTTCACGTTTCGTTTTGTTGTTTTGTTGCTGTGTGTAAGTACTCAATAAAAGATGTACGCATTTCACGCTGCGCCTTGGTCCAGTCATTACGACGATCGTGACAGTGACAGATCATGTGACACTTAGATTGCACACAGGTGGACTTTATTTAACTAATTATGTGACTTCTGAAGGTAATTGGTTGCACCAGATCTTATTTACGGGCTTCATAGCAAAGGGGATGAAAACATATGCATGCACCACTTTTCCGTTATTTATTTTGTAGAATTTTTTGAAACACGTTAATTTTTTAATTTCACTTCACCAATTTTGACTATTTTGTGTATGTCAATTACATGAAATCCAAATAAAAATCAATTTAAATTACAGGTTGTAATGCAACAAAATAGGAAAAATGCCAAGGGGATGAATACTTTTGCAAGGCACTGTATAAGATCTTGCTATCATGGAAAGGAAAATACCTGTCTATTTGTGAAAAATCACCTTGCAATCAACTTGTTTTTTAAACAATTGTTTTGTTTTTTAAATTATATGAGCAAAATATATTCCATTTTATTTGTAACGGCAAGACAGACAAAATTAAACGTGCCTATTTATATATTGGATATGAATTCGGATGGCAGACATGATTAAATATTAAAGCATTAGACCTCTCACTAAAGGCTTCAGTCATACAAAAGTTATACTTAAATCTGAACTGGTTCTCAAACAGATTAGTAAGAAATTTGAAAAAGAAATAATCTCCAAAACATGTCTATTTTTAAAACAAGCCATAGAAAGTTGGTTGCAATTTTTGTTTCATCCACCGGAAAAGACAGAACAAACAATACAACAAATATTATGGTTAAACTCAAATATACTAATTGATTTTTTAAAAAACATTATTTTTGTAATAAAAAATAAATAAAAGGTATCATCTTTGTAAATGATATCATAAATAAGACTGTTGGAGTTATGTCACACATGCAGCTAACACTAATGTATGGAAATGTCTGCTCTACCCAAAATTACAACCAACTAATTGCAGCATTACCGCAAAAATGGAAGAGACAAGTTGACGGGGGAAAACGTAAGAAACGTGTCTGTCGGCCCTGCATTAAAGACCAAAATTGGTCAAAGAAAATTGTGATAAATAAAAAAGTACACAAGTTTCATTAAAGGACAAAAAATTGACAGCGCCTGATCTCTCTGTACTTTGCTCCGTTCATCTTTCCCTCGATCCTGACTAGTCTCCCAGTCCCTGCCGCTGAAAAACATACCCACAGCATGATGCTGCCACCAACATGCTTCACCGTAGGGATGATGCCAGGTTTCCTCCAGACGTGACGCTTGGCATTCAGGCCAAAGAGTTCCATCTTGGTTTCATCAGACCATGGAATCTTGTTTCTCATGGTCTGAGAGTCCTTTAGGTGCCTTTTGGCAAACTCCAAGTTGGCTGTCATGTGCCTTTTACTGAGGAGTTGCTTCCGTCTGGCCACTCTACCACAAAGGCCTGATTGGTGGAGTGCTGCAGAGATGGTTGTCATTCTGGTAGGTTCTCCTAGCTCCACACAGGAACTCTGGAGCTCTGTCAGAGTGACCATCGGGTTCTTGGTCACATCCCTGACCAAGGCCCTTCTCCTACAATTGCTCAGTTTGGCCGGGCGGCCAGCTCTAGGAAGAGTCTTTGTGGTTCCAAACTTCTTCCATTTAAGAATGATGGAGGCCACTGTGTTCTTGGGGACCTTCAATGCTGCAGACATTTTTTGGTACCGTTCCCCAGATCTGTGCCTCGACACAATCCTGTCTCGGAGCTCTATGGACAATTCCATTTACCTTATGGCTTGGTTTTTGCTCTGACATGCACTGTCAACTGTAGGACCTTATGTAGACAGGTGTGAAGCCTTTCCAATTAATGTCCAATCAATTGAATTTACCACAGGTGAACTCCAATCAAGTTGTAGAAACATCTCAAGGATGATCAATGGAAACAGGATGCACCTGAGCTCAAGTTCGAGTCTCATAGCAAGAGTAATACTTATGTAAAGAAGGTATTTCTATTTTTTATATATTTACAAAAATGTCTAAAAACCTGTTTTCGCTTTGTCATTATGGGGTATTGTTTCTAGATTGATGAGGAAACAAATTAATTTAATCAATTTTGAATAAGGCTGTAACATAACAAAATGTGAAAAAAGGGAAGGGTCTGAATATTTTCCAAATGTCCTGTATATATGTATATACAGTGGGGAGAACAAGTATTTGATACACTGCCGATTTTTCAGGTTTACCTACTTACAAAGCATGTAGAGGTCTGTACTTTTTATCATAGGTACCCTTCAACTGTGAGAGACGGAATCTAAAACAAAAATCCAGAAAATCACATTGTATGATTTTTAAATAATTAATTTGCATTTTATTGCATGACATAAGTATTTGATCACCTACCAACCAGTAAGAATTCCGGCTCTCACAGGCCTGTTAATTTTTCTTTAAGAAGCCCTCCTGTTCTCCATTACCTGTATTAACTGCACCTGTTTGAACTCGTTACCTGTAAAAATGACACCTGTCCACACACTCAATCAAACAGACTCCAACCTCTCCACAATGGCCAAGACCAGAGAGCTGTGTAAGGACATCAGGGATAAAATTGTAGACCTGCACAAGGCTGGGATGGGCTACAGGACAATAGGCAAGCAGCTTGGTGAGAAGGCAACAACTGTTGGCGCAATTATTAGAAAATGGAAGAAGTTCAAGATGACGGTCAATCACCCTCGGTCTGGGGCTCCATGCAAGATCTCACCTCGTGGGGCATCAATGATCATGAGGAAGGTCAGGGATCAGCCCAGAACTACACGGCAGGACCTGGTCAAAACCATTAATAACACACTACGCCATCATGGATTAAAATCCTGCAGCGCACGCAAGGTCCCCCTGCTCAAGCCAGCGCATGTCCAGGCCCGTCTGAAGTTTGCCAATGACCATCTGGATGATCCAGAGGAGGAATGGGAGAAGGTCATGTGGTCTGATGAGACAAAAATATAGCTTTTTGGTCTAAACTCCACTCGCTGTGTTTGGAGGAAGAAGAAGGATGAGTACAACCCCAAGAACACCATCCCAACCGTGAAGCATGGAGGTGGAAACATCATTCTTTGGGGATGCTTTTCTGCAAAGGGGACAGGATGACTGCACCGTATTGAGGGGAGGATGGATGGGGCCATGTATCGCGAGATTTTGGCCAACAACCTCCTTCCCTCAGTAAGCATTGAAGATGGGTCGTGGCTGGGTCTTCCAGCATGACAACGACCCGAAACACACAGCCAGGGCAACTAAGGAGTGGCTCCGTAAGAAGCATCTCAAGGTCCTGGAGTGGCCTAGCCAGTCTCCAGACCTGAACCCAATAGAACATTTTTGGAGGGAGCTGGAAGTCCGTATTGCCCAGCGACAGCCCCGAAACCTGAAGGATCTGGAGAAGGTCTGTATGGAGGAGTGGGCCAAAATCCCTGCTGCAGTGTTTGCAAACCTGGTCAAGACCTACAGGAAACGTATGATCTCTGTAATTGCAAACAAAGGTTTCTGTACCAAATATTAAGTTCTGCTTTTCTGATGTATCAAATACTTATGTCATGCAATAAAATGCAAATTAATTGCTTTAAAATCATACAATGTTATTTTCTGGATTTTTGTTTTAGATTCCGTCTCTCACAGTTGAAGTGTACCTATGATAAAAAAATAACAGACCTCTACATGCTTAGTAAGTAGGAAAACCTGCAAAATCGGCAGTGTATCAAATACTTGTTCTCCCCACTGTACATACATATTTACAACAAATATATATGGGGGATTGTAAATGATGCAGACAATTACGTTGATCGAAGCTACAATCTACCTTCAATATTAAAGCTGTTCTACAATAATAATACAAAAATAACCTGGGCTGTCAGACAAAACTGTCGGGAAGTCAATAGGCAGGGACTGATTTATAAGCAAATTGCTTTGATAAAACAATTCAAATAAACTGATCGGGGACGTTACTCTTTTAATCCACCATGAGCAGGTGAAGGTTAGTAAAGTAACCCTTGCCTTCTCATAGTTAGTAAAAATCACAATGCACACCAGATGTTGGCGGAAACACTTGTTTTCCTCTTTCTTTTTCACTTCTGATGGGTTTTCACTACTAAACTTGACATATTGTTCATCATCAGTATCCTATGGAAATGAGAAGGGGCCACAGTCTGGTTTCTACACCAGAGGTTAATGGTTATCTGTAGGAGGAATGTATATGGTGGGGTCAATTAAGGTTGGATATGAGCTTGGGGCTTAGAATGTTCCTGAGTAAGGATAAGGCAATCACAGGGTTTCGGTCACTGATAAGGGTGGATAGCTGTGGATCATTGAGGAATGGGGGCTGAGGTCAGGTCAGGTCACATTAAGGGAGAAGGAATAGTTTATTACCCGCATCACTTAACTTCCTGCCTAGCAATAAAGATGTAATGATTAGAGGGAAGGAGGAGACTTCACCCAAATTGGGGTGTATATACTTGTGACTGTTCAGCTGTCTGACCCATTGGGTGAATAAACTTGGTTTGAGCTTTACTGGTCGTCCGTAAGTTTTTTACTGTGATTATTTAGAATGTACATTTACATTTACATTTACGTCATTTAGCAGACGCTCTTATCCAGAGCGACTTACAAATTGGTGCATTCACCTTATAGCCAGTGGGATAACCACTTTACAATGTAACACTACAAAACATAGAAATGTGCTGTTTTCACATATGTTGATGTTGGGGTGGTGCTGGAGATGATGAATATGAAGTTGACATTTTTTAAATGTCTCTTTAAACTAACACCAACATTCAATGCTTCATGAAGCCTTCATAAACCTTTCGTAAGGACTATATAGACGCTTCAGAAATTATTTATAATGTGACGTTACATAAACAAGATAGCATGAACCTACTAAACAAGAACGTGTACCTTTCACAGTGATACAGAACACCATCTTATCATCCCCGGCATCACAGGTGTACTCTCCAGAGTCGTCGATCTCAGCATTTAGAACCACTAGTGAACGGAAAACACCCTGCTCCTCACTGCAGTAGCGCTCATTGTCATCGATTTTCTTATTGTCTTTGTACCAGACGACCATGCAGTTGGCTCTCGAAAGCTCACACCCTAAGACAATGTCATCTGATGCGAAGAACTCCTTTTGAGTATTCACATCGTTTTTTCCCAGGATCTTTACAGGTGTCTCTGAGAATGAAAACAGCGAGAAAGCAAGTGCAAGGTACTTTAATGTGCATCTGTATGGAGAAACATAAAGAGCAAGGTACTCTAATGGGCAGCTGTATAGGAGTAACATGAACAGTGACAAAGCAAGTGAAAGGTACAGTAACAGGCAGCTGTATGGACTAACATGAATATGAAATTCAATTTATATATCTACCTTTGATCTTGACCTGGAAGTCCATCACATCATCCTTGGCATCACAGACATATTTCCCAGCGTCCTCCAATGTCATGGAGTGGAAGGTTAATTGCCGCATGACGCCATCCTCAATAACGGTGACATTGCTGCTCTCTTCCATTTCCTCCCCATTCTTCTTCCAGCTTACCGCGGCATTTGATCTGGACACCTCACAGTCAAGAACCAAAGAATCTCCAACAAACCTCTCAACCCCAATTGCCATCTTTCTTGGGCGTACAAAACGGACAGGGGGATCTGTGCATAAAAATAATCACTTAAAAATGAAGCATCTCTTCATCAGTAAAGTGGTTTCTTCTTGTGACATATTATGCACTGTGCACCAGCAACAGATCACTAAGGCACCAATAATCATTCAACACTCATACAGTACCAGTCAAAAGTTTTGACACACCTACTCATTCAAGGTTTTCATTTTATTTGTACTATTTTGTATGTTGTAGAATAATAGTGAAGACATTAAAACTATGAAATAACACATATAGAATCATGTAGTAACCAAAAAAGTGTTAAACAAATCAAAATATATTTTATATTTGAGATTCTTCAAATAGCCACCCTTTGCCTTGATGACAGCTTTGCACACTCTTGGCATTCTCTTAACCAGCTTCATGAGGTAGTCACCTGGAATGCATTTCAATTAACAGGTGTGCCTTCTTAAAAGTTAATTTGTGGAATTTCTTTCCTTCTTAATGCGTTTGAGCTAATCAGCTGTGTTGTGACAAGGTAGCGGGGTATACAGAAGATAGCCCTATTTGGTAAAAGACCGAGTCCATATTATGGCAAGAACAGCTCAAATAAGCAAAGAGAAACGACAGTCCATCATTACTTTAAGACATGAAGGTCAGTCAATACAGAACATTTCAAGAACTTTGAAAGTTTCTTCAAGTGCAGTCGCAAAACCCATCAAGCGCTATGATGAAACTGACTCTCATGAGGACCGCCACAGGAATGGAAGACCCAGAGTTATCTCTGCTGCAGAGGATCATCAGAGTTACCAGCCTCAGAAATTGCAGCACAAATAAATGCTTCACAGAGTTCAATTAACAGACACATCTCAACATCAACTGTTCAGAGCAGACTGTGTGAATCAGGCCTTTATGGTCGAATTGCTGCAAACAAACCATTACTAAAGGACACCAATAAGAAGAAGAGACTTGCTTGGCCCAAGAAACATGAGCAATGGACATTAGACGGGTGGAAATTTGTCCTTTGGTCTGGAGTCCAAATTGGAGATTTTTGGTTCCAACCGCCGTGTCTTTGTGAGATGCAGTGTGGATGAACGGATGATCTCCGGATGTGTAGTTCCCACCATAAAGCATGGAGGAGGAGGTGTTATGGTGTGGGGGTGCTTTGCTGGTGACACTGTCTGTGATTTATTTAGAATTCAAGGCACACTTAACCATCATGGCTACCACAGCATTCTGCAGCGATATGCCATCCCATCTTGTTTGGGCTTAGCGGGACTATCATTTGTTTTTCAACAGGACAATGACCCAACACACGGCCAGGCTGTGTAAGGGCTATTTTACCAAGAAGGAGAGTGATGGAGTGCTGCATCAGATGACCTGGTCTCCACAATCGTCCTACCTCAACCCAATTGAGATGGTTTGGGATGAGCCGGACCGCAGAGTGAAGGAAAAGCAGCCAACAATAGCTCAGAATATGTGGGAACTATTTGAAGAATCTCAAATATAAAATATATTTTGATTTGTTTAACACTTTTTTGGTTACTACATGATTCCATTTGTGTTATTTCATAATGTTGATGTCTTCACTATTATTTTACAATGTAGAAAATGTTACAAATAAAGAAAAACCCTGGAATGAAAAGGTGTGTCCAAACTTTTGACTGGTACTGTAAATAATCTGTTTGTTTCTACTTTGGATATCAAGTGCCATTGAAAAAAGTTTATGATAGTAGACATCTGTACCTGCGATGTTGACAAAGAACGTCATGTTGTCATCAGCCGTATCGCACACATATTCGGCTGAATCTTTGACTGTGGTCTCAGGTATAATGAGTCTCCTGTAGACCCCATCCACCTCTAAGATTAGGTTGTCATTTTCCTCCACCTCAAGCCCATCCCTATACCAGCGCACCACAGCATTGGGCCTTGAGATCTCACAGCTCAACACCATCCTCTCAGATGTTTGCTGGCAGAGCTCCATTTGCGACTGGCTTGGAGATACAATTTGTACTGGAGGCTCTAGAAAAAGACAGCACCGACAATACATCAAGACATGCAGTATGACCAAAACACTTATTGTTTGAGTAAGTAGTGATCTCATGTGACAGAGAAAGCCAGTTATTACAGCAAGCATTGTGAACCTTCATGAAAACAAGATGTTGTGCTCTTGATTGCTCCCCTTACCTGTTATGCTGAGATGAAAGAATATTGAATCATCAGCCGTGTCACAGACATATTCGCCAGAGTCTTCGATTCCACTACAGAGAATCTTCAGTCGCCTGTAAGGGCCCTCAATCTTAAGCTTAATATTTTCACTTTCTTGCAACTTTTGCCCATCCTTGAACCAGTTTACGACACCATTTAGACGTGAGAGTTCACAGCTAAGAATGATCTCCTCTGGCACATGCCGATCAAGGTGGACATCTTCTTTAGGGTATACAATCATCACTGGTGGCTCTGTAGATGACACAGAGTTATGTGAGTGAGAACATCACAGCAAACATCACATCTCATAGCATAGTCTTCAAAGTGCAATTCACAATTGCCAAATGCTTGTTTTACGGTTCATCACATAGCTTATGAATGCGGTATGCCACTAGATTATGAATCATTCACAAAAATGATGTTCAGTAGGCTTGATTTGATTTTGTACTTCATTCAAAGTCCTTGCTAAGTCATTACCTCGTATGTTAACCTTGAACATTAAAGCGCTGTCTCCGGCACGACATGTGTATGTCCCAGAGTCTGACAGCTGAGCTGACTGGATGGTCAGCATCCTAACAGTGCAATCTGCTTGTATGGCAACGTTGTCACTAGACTGCGTTTCAACCCCATCTTTGTACCACTGGACAATAGCGTCAACCCTGGACACCTCACAGGACATAATAAGACGATCTTGTTCCACAACACTTTTGAAGAGGTCTTCCTCAGGGATATCAACAAATGTCACCGGAGGTGCTGCAGAAAAAAATAAAAATGGTTCAGTGGAGTGAAATAACAAGAAAAGTCTTATTATATGTAAGGCCTGCTTTGTGCAGGTTAAACATGCATTGACGTCAAGCACTGATGATGATGCATTGACTTCAAGCATTGATGAGGATTGCCTGGATAGTTCTAGAGAAGTCTGCATCCACTGTTGAAGCAAAGATAAACTGTTAATACAAGCTGTGCAAGGATGTAGTGCAATTAGGTCATGGGGACAATGACAGGTCAGAGTACATGCTTTTTTTCTCCTCCGATGACCTCTTCAGGTGTTTAGCCTTTAATGAAAAGTATCAAAATATCTCATGAATGGCAACAAGAGATGACAAAAGGAAAAAAAACTATTTTGATGACCATAGCTCAGTTTAAGAACACAAATGGCTACTACGTTATGTGTTTTTAAGGGGAAATGCATAAGTAGCTCTTAAAAGCAAAACTCAATGAACATGTCCAATGTCCAAAGATTGCGTGGTCTGAAAAGGAAATTTCAATCTGCAACATGAAGTTATTAGTCACATGTCGAACTTGACATTAACGGAAAAACTTTACATGTCACCTTTCACATCCACATAGAATTCGCTGATATCATCTGCTGTTTTACAACTGTACACCCCAGAGCTTGAAAATGTGGCTGATTGGATAATCAGGGTCCTCATGGTGCCCTCTGATTGGATGTGTATTCCATATTGTGGGAGGAGCTTTATTCCATCCTTGTACCAGCAGATCTTTGCACTGGGGTCTGAGAGCTCACATTGCAGTACAATAGGACAGCCTGCTTCAATGGACGTGTTCCTCTCAACCTCTGGGGCAGCTGAGAACCTCACTGGTGGAGCTATAGGTGCTTTAATTCATTTAAAGAAATATATTCAATGGAGGTATCATGCTAACATTAACATGTACATACAAAAGCAATTTGATGAAGTACATCTGAAGATGTATGATATTATGTGGCTACGGACCTGGCTACTTGTTAAGGGTTGTCTAGAAACTAAAAAGAGGGCACAATTAAATAATTGTTGTGTCTAGAGTCACCAGAGTTTAGGTTATTGCTTTAACAAATATCTATTTTGTAAATATCATGAGATTATTTGAAGGAGATAGGGGTACTTCACTCATCACAGGAGGTTAGACACTTGAATGCTGAAGCTATTAGTTGCACTACTTTGAGCATAGCTGTCCAATTTGTACCTGAAAAGGTGTTGCTTTTCCGAGAGTATTTAGTGGTAAATCTTACAGATCCTTTGAAGTAAATTAATTAATTTAATTCCATGCAATCAAAATCAGCATTTCTCTTAATCAAATCTGCTACTATAAATACTATCAAGCATCCACTTTTCTGCTGTGTATATCACATAACTAACTCTTCCAAAGGAGGCTTAGGCCTACTAATGACTGATGTTCAATACAAACCGACAGCTTGCACGCATTACGAAGCATTAATCGACATATTAGTTAGTGATTTTGACCAAACTCAAAATTCTTAGATCACCTGCAACATCCACCTTGAATGCTATGCAGTCATCTACAGCCTCACAGCTGTACACCCCAGAGTGACTGAGCGCCGCTGATTGGAGGATCACAGCCCTCAAAGCGCCCTCTGATTGGATGTCGACTCCATTCTCTGGGAGGAGCTTTGTTCCATCCTTGTACCAGTACACCTGGGCAGTTGGATCTGAGAGCTCACATTGTAGAACAATGGGGCATCCTGCTTCAATGAACTTGTTCCTCGCAACTTCTGGAAGTGCTGAAAACCTCACGGGAAGAGCTATGGAGTTTTCAAAGCATTTAGAAATAATTTTTAACGAAACACGAAATGCACCTGTTTCAAAGTGCTGATTCTTGTTCTATGTTGGAATATTAAAACAGCTATGGGTACCTTTAAAACCTACTGTAGATCCCAGTTTTTCAGGGATACACCCATTACTACAAAGATATATATTGTATCACAACTATTAGTTACAATACAAAAGGGTTGAATGGTTTTAAAAAACGGAATGAAATGGATATTACTATTGGTTCTTTGTAAGTCATATAGAACATGTGCTACACCCCTAAAATACTGTTAATAAAGGAGGCATAGAGAGGAAAATCACCTTGAACATCCACCTTGAATGTCATGGCATCGTCCGCAAGACTACAGCAGTAGAGCCCAGAGTCAGAGAGCTCAGCAGAGTGAATTACTAGTCTCTTCACATTGGCTTCGCTTTGGATATCGAGGCCAGTTTTGGGAAATAGTTTCATTTCATCTTTAGACCAGCAGACCTGGGCTAGAGGATCTGAGAGCTCACATTGCAGTACAATGGGAGTGCCAATTTCTACAGACTTGTTCCTCTCCATTGGTGAAAGTGGCATGATCTTCTGTGATGGATCTAAAGGGTATGAATGTGTGTGGGGAGAAAATGGTAGGGCTATGAAGTTGTGTTGCAAGAAAATTGTATTAAGTCTTGTGCACACCGGTTGCATCAAACTATGCATTCTGGCGGAAGTCCATTTATTTCAATGGGAGACAATCCGCAACCGCTCCGACTCATATGCCGGACTAGGTTGCGGTGCATAGCTCTGCGTGTAGTTTGTCGCATGCGTTGGATTTTACCAACCTGCTTTGCCATGCGGTTTCAGACACGGAAGTAGATAAACCACCGAAGAAGTTGCTAATGTGTAGCGTGATTCTTTTTGTTATGATGCTGTGCATGGATTGTGAAGACTACGTAAAATGTACTGTACGGCAAGGTAATGATGCAACCTGTGTGCACGTGACGTTAGGCTACTTCATTGATTAAAAAACACATATTGATCTAGCGGTGCTAAAGTTTTAATAGTTGTGGAAGGAAAGTAGTAGTTCATGTCCTCCCAGACCATCAAATATAATCACACATTAGGAACTGTAAGAGTTAAGGAAAATATTACAATAAATGAACAGTGGCTAAACCAGTGAGGAAATAAGCATGAGCTCCTACTATCTGTTGTGTAGCTATAACATAGCTGCAAATCACCTTTGATCTCCACTTTAAATGTGATGGTATCGTCTGCTGTTGAGCACTCATATGTTCCACCATGTGATATTTCAGCTGATTGGATGAGTAGTGTCCTTTTGATGCCATCGGACTGGATTTCTATTCCACTTTGAGATAGGAGCTTTGTTCCATCCTTGTACCAGTACACCTGGGCAGTTGGATCTGAGAGCTCACATTGCAGTATAATGGGGAAGCCATCTTCAATGAACTTGTTCCTTTCAGCTTCTGGAAGTGCTGAGAACCTCACAGGTGGAGCTATAGGTGTCAATGATCATAAAGGGGATCATAAATAAATTTCTCTTTCACAATGTTTAATTGTCGTTAAAAAAAATTCATTATTCAAAGATTTTTAAGATATGCAATATTTCATTATGAAAGGGCTATCTTATGGGGGAAGAAACTGCAAACACACCAAACTGATTAAGATGGCTCAAATGACAGAAAATCATGAAAAAGAGATGCCAGACACAGTTAACAAAGACAAGACACAAAGCAGGAACAAACAAGAACAGAAGAGCAGAGAGTGCAAGAGTCAAGGATTGTGCAATCTCAAAGCCGCTAAAGGTTTACAGACAGAATAACATGAAGGACAAGAGACAGGCAAGTGAGGCAACAAATGACAAAGAGGTGTCTTCATAAGAATGAAGGAGGATAAAAGTAATTTGTTAAACAAAAGATGAGTCAACATGTATTAAGTAGGCACCAGGGCATAATTCACATGCATATCAAAGGCTCTTATGGAATGGTTTGGCATGTGCAATATCCCCTTTACACCCAATTGTAAGATACGAACCAGTACACTAATCTCAATAGCCAAATAGGTATAAACAAATTCTCCTCAAATGTTGTCCATCGGGTCTTCACTAACTTATTTATTTCTGCACCATATTGCTTGAACTTGTCTTCAAAATGAGAGCACAATTTCTTCTAAGCAATGGTTGTGTTTTTATGTGATTGCTTAGCCTTCAAAGAAGACTATCCACTAATTGTGTGGCTGGAATAAGTACCCCATCATCAAGGCTACCTGTAACATGATTAAGTTTGGCTTTGGCCAGTTAGGGGAGTATACAGACTAGAGATCTGTGCACTTAACTTTCACATTAATTATTACTTGTGAGTTATATGTGCAGATCTCAGGTCTTAGTATCTACTGTATAAGCTCAAGAAACAAGAGAAACAGACAAGTGACATCTTTTCTGTTAGATACTCTGCCAAGCAACACCAAACACCACCAGCCATCAGTTAGTTACCACTGCAGAACATGATTGGTTGATTTTTAAATTATAGATAGTTTTAACATCACCTTTTACTTCCACAGTGAATTGGAGGCCATCCTCCATTGTCTCACAACGGTACACTCCAGAGTGAGACAGCTCTGCTGATTGGATAACTAGAGTTCTCATAGTTCCATCTGATTGGATGTCTACTCCACTTTGGGTTAGGAGCTTTGTTCCATCCTTGTACCAGTACACCTCGGCGGTTGGATCTGAGAGTTCACATTGCAGTTCAATGGGGTAGCCTGGTTTGATGTACTTTTTCTTGTCAGCTTCAGAAATTGCTGAAAACTTCAGAGGTGGAGCTACAGGGTTTAATATGGAGAACATTTGGGTTATTGAACAGGTAATGTAGGCTTATCACCTGAAATCATCTGAAACATAATCTACTGAATATTGTCTATGTTGAAAGGGAGAGAAGTAACCTCAAGAGAAGTTATTTGGGGGGGCTAGGGAAGGGAATGGTGGGGTGGGGGTGGGGGGGGGGTTCTGGGTGGGGAACGACCAATGGGTGGGTTTCCCTGTGGGTCCTGCTTTTTGTTTTAAATCCAAGGACTTATTAACACTAAAGATAATAAATACATCATTGATACCACATGTTTTTTGGGAAAAACAATGGCAACACTAGCTATTCTCTCTTGGAATGTGAAAGGCCTAAACTCACCTATTAAATGTTTCAGCTGTCTTGATATCCGAGCAAGAAACCATATTGATATAGCAATGTTCCAAGAAAAATACCTGCTCCAAAAGGACACGCATAGAATAGAGAACCATTGGTACAACCTGGCTGCTTTTTCATCAGCTCCAAACAAAACTAATGGTGTAATCATAATGATACATAAGAAACTCAAAATTACCATCTTGGGTCAAGGCAAAGACTAAGAAGGCAGAATCACTTTCCTTAAATATATCCATAATGGAAGAAAATTGCCTTTATTAATGTGTTTGCTCCAAATTCACATGATCCTACGTTTTTTAAATCTCTGAGCCGCATATTGTTAGAATTAACTGAATTACAACTGGTTATTGGGACAGACATGAATGCCATTCTGGACATGCTGGACAAATCTAACCTATACTCTCTGATTACAACTTCATTGATGCCTGGCGAGCTCATAACCCTAAAGCAAAATAGTACACTTTCTATTCAAACAGGCACAAAACATTCTCCCAAATTGATTTCGTACTATTATCTACTATTTTTTCTTTAATCTGATTAACATGCTTATTACTGCTTGATACACATTTCAGAATCTTCTAAAAGAGATGGCACTTTAATGTTTCCTTACTACAAATTCCTACTTTCTGTGAACAATTTGAAACTGAATTGAATTAATTCATAATGATTAACAAAAATTCAGTCAATGATCCTCCGATTTTATGGGACACCATTAAAGGTTTTATTAAAAACAATGCAACTGCATTCACATCTGGGCTGAATAAATCACAATTAAAGAAGATATCTGAATTGGAGAGATTGTTAATGACGTTAGAGTGTTCTCAACAAACACTTCTTTCAGACCAGGTAGCGACTACTCTTTTCAAAGTCAAGACAGAACTAAATCTATTGGTAACACAGAGAGCAGAATTTGCCATCCATCGAGTTAGACTCAACCAGTAATTCCAATTAGCGGATATTGCAAGTATTGAATCTGAATCAGGTGAATTACTATGAGAACAAAAAAAACAAAAAAAATGTTTTATCCTGAACCAACACTTGCACATCACTCCCCCATCCCACCCCCTTCTAGCTCTGAATTTGCTGATAGCTACTTTATTGAGGAAAAGTGTACTTACTATGCCTGTGATATGTGGTGGTCCCACCTAGCTATCTTAAGATGAAGGCACTAACTGTAAGTCACTCTGGAGAAGAGCGTCTGCTAAATGACTAAAAGGTAAAATGTAAATGTAGAACCAAAATGAATCAACCAAAGACTCTCCCGCTTCTATAAAGAATTGTACACCTCTGAGTGTAAATCAACGCCAAGCCAGATTGAGTAATTTAAAAAATATATATAAGAACTCCTCTTCTCTCAATTTAGGAAGCCGGCTTGCTGGAAGCCCACATCTCTCTCCATGAACTCAAAATGGCATTGGGTAACCTGAATACAGGCAAATGACCTGGTTGTGACGGTATTCCTCCTGAAGTCTATTTAACATTTTGGAACCAATTAGGTCCACTGTTACTTTAAATGATTAACACAGCTGTTCACAAAGGTTCATTTGGAAGGTATGTAAATACAGCACAAATTTTTTATTAAAAAAAAAAGTAAGGACGCCACCCAGTGCTCTCACTATCACCCTCTATCTTTGACAAACACAGATAATAAACTATTTTCTAAAATTCTTTCATCCCGTCTCAAAACGTACTTATCCAAATTGGTACATCTGGACCGAAACAGGTTTGTTAAAAAACTATTATCCTCAGATAACCTCCGTCGTCTATTACATATCTTACATGCTTCATCAGAAATGAAAGCTCCTTGGGCAGTTCTATCTCTCAACGCAAAAAAAGATTATGATAAACTAGAATGGTCATATCTTTGGTTGGTTTTGGAACATATGGGACTTGGCTCCAATTTCATTCATATGTTAAAAATACTATATGCCAATCCCTCAGCCCTAGTAATAACAGGCAATAAATGCTCTGTTCCGTTCAGAATAACTAAAAGTCGTAGGCAAGGTGATCCCATCTCACCTCTGCTATTTTTATTGTCTATGGAGCCCCTGGCCAAGGCAATTCGACAATTGAAAGAAATTACACCAACATCTCTCAATTCTACGGATAACGTCATCTCATTATATGCCAACAATATCTTACTTTATCTAGACAATGTATCTCAATGCCTCCCAAAAGCTCTGAAGACAATAAATTCAGTTCTATCTCAAGTTTTAAAATACATCTAACCAAATCTGCCCTACTGCCTCTCAAGACCCCGATGGAGGACTCCATCTCTACTTATGGAATCCCAATTGTTTTCCCATTTTAAATATTTCAGAAAAAATATATTTCCTTCCTTTAATAAAACCATTGGCAGAAACTTTAACAGAATGCTCAAATCAATTCAATTAATCCTCAGTAGACGGACTAATATCTATTGTCAAAATGAATATATTGCCACAGCAACATTTCTGTAGTTCAATGTTTCCCTTGTCTCCCCCTTCTGGTTATTGGGATCAAATCCATAGTGCGGTTAAAACATGTATATGGCAAGGTAAGCGATCCCGGATCAAATTAACAAACTTGCAAAGAAGGAAAGACGTAGGAGGACTATCCCTACCAAACTTAAATTGCATTTAGTCCCATCCTAAATTTGTTTAGACATGATTCTTCCGCTCCCTGGCTGAGTATAGAGAGATATATGGTGTCTCCTATTACCTTGGAAGAGGTGTTCTTCACTGATACAACCTTTAAAAAATGTAAACTATGCTTTAGTCCTATTATTGTCCACACAATTTATATTTGCCGCAAAATTGAAAAACGATGTAATTGGGAATCAAAATGGCAAATATTTTTTTCTATATTTACAACTTAGGTCAGCTATGCTGGCTATGGAGTCCCTTGGGAAACCCAACTACCAAACCATCCAATGATGGGATTTATAAATAAATTACCTGGGCTCCCGAAAGGACTGATCTCTATACAACTTTTGGAAAGCTCATGTTCTGAGCTAGCCATTAAAAAAGTATGGTCTACAGATCTAATTGAATCTAAACAATCCTTTAACTGGAACAGAATATGGAAAAATATGACCTTGGCATCCCATAATCTGAATCATCAATTTATACATTTAAAATTTGTTCACAGACTGTATTTAACACCAAGGAAGCATTTCACGATGAGATTGGCCCCAACTCCCAACTGTTCACTGTGTCCCCTAAAGCAGGTAGGGACATTCAACCATATGATGTGGGAATGCCCTGCAGTTAAACGCTACTGGGGCAAAGTTACACAATTAATTTAGAAGTGCATGAATATATAAATATTCAATGCTTTGCATCTATTATCTTACTTAACAATCACAGCTCCTTGAATTTCTCAATCAATTAAAAATGGCAGGTAGCCTAGTGGTTAAGATTGTTAGGCCAGTAACCGAAAGGTTGGTTGTTTGAATCCCTGAGCCGGCAAGGTGGGAAAATGTTGTCCTGCTGTATGTATCTCTTATTTTATTTAAAAACATTTGTGGCAGCCTACGGGTACAGGTTTTATAAACCTATGGGATGCTGTTTGGGGTTTTAGGCTGGGTTTCTGTATAGCACTTTGTGACATCTGCTAAAAATACAATTTGATTGATTGATTGATTGATTGATCCATTGACATGGATAATGTAAATGTACCATTTGTACATGCAATTTATCTTAGAATATTGCTATGTTGTGCTAATGCTAGCATTGAATTGGCTTTCACCGGTTTGTACTTCTAAAAAAAAATCTTAAAATAGATCACACATACTTCAATCTAATTTATACCACGAGACCCATATTTGACTTGGAATGAAAGATTTTGGAATAGAAATGGTTCCAACGATTATCATACGTTTCTATGCTATGCTTCCTTACAGGCTCTACAGAAAATGCTTTGAAGTACAGAAGGTATGGAATGTAAGTATAACATCTTGGTTTGAAACAGTTCTGTTCCAATAACTTTATTTCTTCTGGAGTGATAATCCTGATATAAATTGGAATAAAGTAAGAGCTATTTTAGGATGTTTTTTTGAACCAATGCAAATAAATTGGATACCAATAGTAGCAATATTCTAACATGAGCACTATAACATACCGTTGGTGGATTGCTCTGAAGTCGACAAAGGACATATTGGGGTAAAAACGGAAAACTATGCCTTTAACACTTTGGTGCTATCATGGTTACAATTTGAGGTCTGAAATGGTGCTTCTCTACATACGTTTACCTCTGTCCATTTACTTTATATGTCAAGGCCTTCGTGAAGTCAATTGAGGAAGATGATTTCATATGTCACTGTAGTGACCGATTCCAGGTCTCTTGCACACCACAGGGATAAACTAAAGCCTAGCCATTAGCTTTGGACCTAACGCATCTCTAAAGGTCAAATTACTGTATCCTTTCATTAGTAAATGATTAAGCAGTCCAAAAAAACTGATAAAATTATCACCTTTCACATCCACATGAAACTGCATTGCATCATCTGTTGTCTTACAGCTGTAGCTCCCTGCATCAGACAGCCTTGCAGATTCCACAGCCAATGTCCTTATGGAACCTTTCGATTGCATTTGTAGTCCATTCTCTTCATATAGCAGTGTTCCGTCCTTGTACCAGAAAACATGTGCATTGGGGTCTGATATCTCACAATGCAGCGCAATGGGACTGCCTGCTGCAACGGACTTGTTCCTCTCAGCTTCACAAGGTGTTGTGATCCTCACAGGAGGTGCTGGGGGTGTGTGAAGTAGTATTAAGAGAGAATAGCATCACCATTAAGAAATATTTGCTACAATAAAATGGCTCCAGTATCGTAAGAGCAAATATCACTATAGAGATTAGTCATGCCAATACCTCTCAAGAATCTCAAATTAATAAGCAAATATCACTAATTCTGTAACGTTTGCCATATAAGTATTACATAACTGTTTTATTAGACTTGATATATACAATTTAAGGGGAGGATATTTTTGGTTAGACTGAGAGACCTATGCATACAAGTTAATGTGACTTTGAATGTATATATATATATATATATATATACATAATAAGACAAATCGTTATAAACCACCCAAGCTCAAATTATCACAATTACTAATTTTCTGTATTATTTTAGTATGAGCAATTGTCAAATGTAAAATATTACTTATAGCAATCAGTTGATTTTTACACGATGTCAACATTGTGCCCGTCAGTTTTTTCGTTTGATAAAGCTAACGATATTTAATCACCTTCAACATCCACCTTAAATGCAATGTCATCGTTATCCAAGTGACTGTCACATTCTCCTAATTGATAGAGCTCTGCTGATTGGAGAGTTGGTGTCTTCATGGAGGTATAGCGCTCTGCTGATTGGAGAGTTGGTGTCTTCATTGAGGAACAGAGCTCTGCTGATTGGAGAGTTGGTGTCTGTATTGAGCCACACACCTCTGGTGAATGGAAAGTTGGTGTTTGCATGGAACTACAGACCTCTATTGATTGGTGAGTTGGTGTCTGCATAGAACCATAGAGCTCTGCAGACTGGAGAGTTAGTGTCTGCATGGAGCCACAGACCTCTGCTGATTGGTGAGTTGGTGTATGCATGGTGCCATAGAGCTCTGCTGATTGGACAGTTGGTGTCTGCATGGAGCCATACAGCTCTGCTGATTGAACAGTTGGTGTCTGTATGGAGCCATAGAGCTCTGCTGATTGGAGAGTTTGTGTAGACATAGAGACATAGAGGTCTGCTGATTGGATAGTTGGTGTCTGCTCTGCTGATTGGAAGGTTGCTGTCTCCTTGGAGCCATAGAGCTCTGGTGACTGGAGAGTTGCTGTCTCCATTGAATAGTGTTCTGCTGATTGGACAGTTGGTGTCTCTATGGAATAGTGCTCCACAGATTGGAGACTTCGCATCTCCATTGAATATATGTCATATGTTTGAAGATGTTGGCCGTCCTTGTAGTGGAGGATCTGGGAAGTAGAGTCTAAGGGCTCACAGTGAACCTCAACGGGGCAGACCTCTTCAATGGACCTGTTCTTCTCAATCTCTTGGTCAGCTGAGACCCTCACAGGTGCAGCTATATGCATTGTGGTGCACACAGAGAAAGGTTTTCAATTGATGTTCTGTGTGCCTTCTCTTATCTAAAAATCATTTTCTAAAGGTACTACACATCATTGTGTGTTAGCATGGAAGAGTTAAGAGAAAACCGATGGCAAAGGTTAACAATTAAGAGAGGCGACCAGATTAAGAGCTGGTCTAAAGACAAGGTAAATAAGACCTAACAGTACATTTCCTAACACTGTCAGGTAAGAACTCGGTTCACGACATCACTCATTTCTGTTTAGCCACTCATACATACATTTTCACATTTTGTGATAAGAGCTCATTGCAACAGGGACAGATTCTGGGCAGCGAAGGGAACATGAAGATTGGATGATGAGCAAGACATAAGATGGGCTTCAAGAACGGCAAAGCTGCTTGTTAGAAGCGTCATTGTTGTTTGACTCTGTTAAGAATGAAGAATGACGATATGACATACTTAACAATTAACAGGAATTAGTATGAAGAAATTCAGCCGCTCACAGACCATTCAGATGTTTGATTAAAAGCCAAAATAGCAGGGAATCAGATGAGATTGAGGGGTGATAGGATCACAAAAAAAAAAACATTTAAACTACTGTCTTTATATGCTTTGAAGGATGGAATACACTAGCTAATACACCACTATTATTAGTGGCATGTATATGCTGGGTTAAAATGGAGTGTGCTAATTTTGAAATAGCATTATATCACCTTTAATATCCATAGTGTATTGGGAAGACTCATCAGATATCTCACCATTCTCACTGCCAGGGTGAGACAGCTCTGCTGTTTGAACAAAGCCACAGAGAAAACAGTAAGCTGGATGATAGCTTCAACCATGTAAATGCTTCTGTCAGATTTTGATATGGAGTAGAAAAGGGTGTATGTGGAGCACCACCTTTGATGTCCACATTAAATTGTGTGGTATTGCCAGTTGTTTGGCAGTCAAACCTCCCACCACAGGACATGTCATCTGGTTGGATGAACAAAGTCCTTATGCTGCCCTTTGATTGTCTGTCAAGTCCACTATGTGGGTAGATCTGTGTTCCATCTTTGTGCCAGCAGACCTGGGCAATGGGGTCTGAAATCTCAAATTGTTGTACAATTGAGAGGCCCGCTTCTATGGACTTGTTCTTCTCAACTTCAGGAGCAACCAAGTATGTCATGGGTGGAGCTATAGGTAATCATTGAGGGGATAATTCAGTGTGAATTATTTTGAGTGGTTATAAAATGGCTAATGTAAAGAGGCAATATCAACAATAAAGCATCTAGCTTTTTAAGTATTAGCTCAGAACATGTAAGAAGACAATTAATCCAAAAGCTACAGAAAGTGAGTTAGTCGCAACTGAAACATCAGAAAAACAAACATTTGACAGAAATCACCTTGGTTCTGTACAATTAATGGGGCAACATCTTCCGCTGTCGCACAATAATACGCCCCAGAGTTGGAGGGGTGTGCCGGTTCGACAACCAGGTTCCTCCTGATGCCCTCCATTTTGAAATGAGGTCCAGTGTCAGAGATGAGCTCTACTTTGTCCTTCTGCCGTGACACCTGGGCAATGGGGTCTGAAATCTCACAGGGTAGTTCAATGGGGCAGGTTGCTTCAAGCGACTGGCTCTTCACAACCTCTGGTGAAGGTAAGAACTTCACTGGTGGAGCTAAAGATGATTATCCATGTTAAAATTGTGGAATTTACAGCAGATAACAATATTTTGGGGGAGGGAGGGGGCTTACAGTAAAGCTTCCCCAAAGTGACTAATCTGTCATTTCTCAAACCAGTTTCAAAGAGGCAAACCTATTACTTCAAACAGTAAACAAACAACAAATATTTCCTTATTTAATGAGATGAAAAGCAAGTGTTTCAATTAACTTAAGAAGAAGAAGTAAGTCCCCACAAACACCACTTAGAGACAGACAACACAAATAGCCACCAACGTTAGTTGCATCTAATCTCCACAAAACTGTCTAGGGTTACTCTGTATGAGATTTGAACCAAAAAGCCACAAATCACCTTTGATATCCACAGTAAACTGGAGAGTGTCGTCAGAAGTTTCACAGTTGTACAGCCCTGAGTGAAAGACCTCTGCTGATTGGACAATGAGCCTCCTCATGGTGCCATTAGATTGGATGTCCATTCCAGTCTGTGGGAGGAGCTTTTCCCCATCCTTGCACCAGTAGACCTGGGCAGTGGGATCTGTAACCTCACATTGCAGTTCAAAAGGGCAGCCTGCTTCAACCAACTTGGTCTTCTCAACGTCAAAGATAGCTGAGAACGTCACTGGCACAGCTAGCAATGAGGATTAAGGAAATACCCATATTATAGAGATAAATATTTAAATGTATGCCATACAGTATATACACTTTTATGTGGCTTCAAATTATTTGAAAGAGTAAAATGAGTAAAGTGATCATCAAGTATGTGTAAATAGCTAGCCACAGCATTGCAAATCAATCGAGCACAGGTAGCAAGGCTATATGCAGTATACTGTTCTGTAAAGTTATTTGTTCATGAACACAAAGAAGGCAGGGATTATTAGTCGCATTTTTAAAAAGACACGACCGACTGTTATAGGATGTAAAGCAAAGGCAGAAAGGGCAAAATCACCTTTGATATCCACATGGAACTCCATGGTATCATCCACTGTGGTACAACTGTAAGTGCTAGAGTGAGTCAGTTCTGCTGATTGAACAACCAACATCCTCATGTTGCCTTCTGATTGGATGTCTAGTTCATGGTTTGAAAAGAGCTGTGTTCCATCCTTGTACCAGTAGACCTGGGCAGTTGGATCTGAGAGCTCACATTTCAGTACAATGGGGCAGCCTGCTTCAATGGACTTGTTCCTCTCAGCTTCTGGAAGTGCTGAGAACCTCACAGGCGGAGCTAAAGATATGTTTAAGTCTTAGATTATGGTAATCCATAATTACATTGTTGGTTTGATTAGAGAAATCATGATATTGTTGGTTTGATTAGACAAATCATGATTTCATGACTTCAAATTCGGTTTTGTCAGTTTAAAATGGCAGTTTTTTTAACCTATAATCGAAGATCAAGCAGGTTAAGCATTGTATTGTAATAAAAGAAGGGATGATCATAAAGCTGCATTGTTAATAGGCAGCAAGAAAAAGAGTGACAGAAAACATACAGTACAAGACCATCATTAGTAGCTTTGCTAAGAGGGAGCTTGTTAATTTTCCGTAGAGCCCAAAATAAAACTTTTTCACCTTTGATGTCCACATTGAACTTGATGGTATCACCCTTTGTCTTGCAGCTGTACGACCCAGAGTGGAATATCTCTGCTAACTGGACAACTAGTGTCCTTGTGATGCCATCTGACTGGATTTCTATTCCACTTTGAGGTAGGAGCTTTGTTCCATCCTTGTACCAGTACACCTGGGCAGTTGGATCTGAGAGCTCACATTGTAGTACAATGGGGCAGCCTGCTTCAATGGACTTGTTCCTCTCAGCTTCTGGAAGTGCTGAAAACCTCACAGGTGGAGCTATGGGTGTTTAGATGTTATGATGGTTTTTTATGTCTGTGTGTTACTTTCATATTATGTTTGATTTGTGATGTTCAAGTGCAATCATCAAACTTAATACAAACTTGTGGAACAGATGTCTATCAGGTCAGAAGATCACAAGAAAATGTGTTAGTAACCTTGCCAGAAAAAATGAGTTTAACAGAAACCACTTGCCACTCACCCTCAACTTCCACGTTGAACCTTATGACATCATCAATGGCATCACAGCAATACACTCCGGAATGGGAGAACTCTGACGATTGGATGACAATTCTCCTCATTGTGCCTTCTGACTGAATGTGAAGACCCTCGACTGTGTGTACCTCCACCCCATTCTTGTACCAGTGTACTGGGACTGCGGGATCTGACAACTCGCAGTAGAGTACAATGGGGTTGCCAAGTTCAACAAATTTATTACGATCCATCTCTGACAGTGGTGTGAACTTCACTAGAGGAGCTGCAAATTTCAGAAAAATCATGAGCATTTTTCTCTTTACAATTATAGTGCTTTGACCAAAATTCAATTGCCTTACTATAATACAGTAAGAAAGGAAATTTTTCTCATACACCTATAATTTTTGGAAGTAATTAGTATGTACCTTGAATATAGAGTGCTGCTGAATCTCGTATTCCATAGGCAATGAATGTGATCTCAGCCCCGTTGTCTGTATCTCGTACACCTCGTATGCGTAGTGATTGGTGCGTTCGAGACCGCCGCATGGAGTAACGGTCGTCCTCCAGAAGCTGAGTGCCATTCAAGAACCATGAGCCAATAACTGAGGCAGTGAGCTCAATTGAGAAGCAGGCATCCTGGCCTTCTGGCACCAAGGCATCCTGTAGGGGGGCTTGTATTCTGGTCACAGGGACTGAAAAACATAGCAATATTACACCTCAATTACGCTCTGCATTCTCCTTCAAACTCAAATTCGGTAACACCTTATGCAAAGCAGGTTTCAAAAGAGTTATAATGTTATGTATCTCTATGATTTTGTTTCAGTTAGCATTTAAGAGTTGTGCCACATTCAAGCTGGCTTGATTTCTGATTGTCTCCACTTGTTCTAATGGTGTTTGTTGAGCACAGAATTCAAACTAGCTCACAGTTCAGTCATTTGAAGTCAGAGTAGCTAGCTAGCTTTTAGGGATCAGGTTTGGATCATTAGCTAGTTGCTGAATGGCTAGCATGTTAAGGCAATTGAATGCTAGTTAGCTAGTACAATACTAGCTTAATGTTATGCTAGCAGATGATAATGCTAACCAATGTTTAGCTAGCTAAACATTTGGCTAGCTAGCAGAATGAGAGTAGTTACGACAGTGAATTCTTTTGACAGACATCACACTAGCTCTAGCTAGTTGTCTAGCAATGGCAATCTAGTTACACCATCAACATTAGCATACCTAGCTAGCTAAAGTGTTACATTAGCTAGCTAGCAATGCAAAAAAAAAAAACATTCTAGTAGCAATGGAAATACAAATCAAGTTTTGCCATCTAGTCAAGTTTGGCTTACATTTTACATTTTACATTTTAGTCATTTAGCAGACGCTCTTATCCAGAGCGACTTACAGGAGCAATTAGGGTTAAGTGCCTTGCTCAAGGGCACATTTACGTCATTTAGCAGACGCTCTTATCCAGAGCGACTTACAAATTGGTGCATTCACCCTATAGCCAGTGGGATAACCACTTTACACTTAGTACTTGAATCCAGCTTGACTCTAATGTGCCAATCGAAAGGTATATGTAGCAGATTTACAGTTGGAAGGGCTTCTGCTTACCCAGGTGAACTGCCCTTGGGAATTCCACATTGTTGCTCCTGCCATACTTGTTGACACTGCATATGCGAAAGCGATAATCTGCCTCGCAGGGAACGCTGTCGCCAAGAATTTCCACTGAGGTGGCCGAGTCGGTTGTCAAGCACTGCAGCCACTCCTGGGAGCCGGTGCCCACCTCTTGCCTCTCCAACACGTAACCTGATGGGGGGTTCTTCCGGGTGTCCTGCGCCGGAACCCAGGAGAGGAGGGCAGCGTTGGCACGCTCTGTGTTGATCTGCACACCCACTGGACAGCTGGGTGGGCTATGCCTGGCCGCTGGAAGCAGAATGTACTACAGTTGAAGTCGGAAGTTTACATGCACTTAGGTTGGAGTCATTAAAACCCGTTTTTCAACCACTCCACAAATTTCTTGTTAACAAACTATAGTTTTGGCAAGTCGGTTAGGACATCTACTTTGTGCATGACAAAAGTAATTTTTCCAACAATTGTTTACAGACATATTATTTCACGTATCACAATTCCAGTGGGTCAGAAATGTACATACACTAAGTTGACGGTGCCTTTAAACAACTTGGACATTTCCAGAAAATGATGTCATGGCTTTAAAAGCTTATGATAGGCTAATTGACATCATTTGAGTCAATTGGAGGTGTACCTGTGGATGTATTTCAAGGCCTAACTTCAAACTCAGTGCCTCTTTGCTTGACATCATGGGAAAATCAAAAGAAATCAGCCAAGAACTCAGAAAAGCTAGACCTCCACAAGTCTGGTTCATCCTTGGGAGCAATTTCCAAACGCCTGAAGGTACCACGTTCATCTGTACAAACAATAGTACGCAAGTATAAACACCATGGGACCACGCAGCCGTCATACCGCTCAGGAAGGAGACGCGTTCTGTCTCCTAGAGATGAACGTACTTTGGTGCGAAAAGTGCAAATCAATCCCAGAACAACATCAAAGGACCTTGTGAAGATGCTGGAGGAAACAGGTACAAAAGTATCTATATCCACTGTAAAATGAGTCCTATATCGACATAATATGAAAGGCCGCTCAGCAAGGAAGAAGCCACTGCTCCAAAACCGCCATAAAAAAGCCAGACTACGGTTTGCAACTGCACATGGGAACAAAGATCGTACTTTTTGGAGAAATGTTCTCCTTTTGGAGAAATGTCCACTGGAAAAAAGTATTTAGTCAGCCACCAATTGTGCAAGTTCTCCCACTTAAAAAGATGAGAGAGGCCTGTAATTTTCATCATAGGTACACGTCAACTATGACAGACAAAATGAGGAAAAAAAATCCAGAAAATAACATTGTAGGATTTTTAATGAATTTATTTGCAAATTATGGTGGAAAATAAGTATTTGGTCAATAACAAAAGTTTCTCAATACTTTGTTATATACCCTTTGTTGGCAATGACACAGGTCAAACGTTTTCTGTAAGTCTTCACAATGTTTTCACACACTGTTGCTGGTATTTTGGCCCATTCCTCCATGCAGATCTCCTCTAGAGCAGTGATGTTTTGGGGCTGTCGCTGGGCAATACGGACTTTCAACTCCCTCCAAAGATTTTCTATGGGGTTGAGATCTGGAGACTGGCTAGGCCACTCCAGGACCTTGAAATGCTTCTTACGAAGCCACTCCTTCGTTGCCCGGGCGGTGTGTTTGGGATCATTGTCATGCTGAAAGACCCAGCCACGTTTCATCTTCAATGCCCTTGCTGATGAAAGGAGGTTTTCACTCAAAATCTCACGATACATGGCCCCATTCATTCTTTCCTTTACACGGATCAGTCGTCCTGGTCCCTTTGCAGAAGAACAGCCCCAAAGCATGATGTTTCCACCCCCATGCTTCACAGTAGGTATGGTGTTCTTTGAATGCAACTCAGCATTCTTTGTCCTCCAAACACGACGAGTTGAGTTTTTACCAAAAAGTTCTATTTTGGTTTCATCTGACCATATGACATTCTCCCAATCCTCTTCTGGATCATCCAAATGCACTCTAGCAAACTTCAGACGGGCCTGGACATGTACTGGCTTAAGCAGGGGGACACGTCTTGCACTGCAGGATTTGAGTCCCTGGCGGCGTAGTGTGTTACTGATGGTAGGCTTTGTTACTTTGGTCCCAGCTCTCTGCAGGTCATTCACTAGATCCCCCCGTGTGGTTCTGGGATTTTTGCTCACCGTTCTTGTGATCATTTTGACCCAACGGAGTGAGATCTTGCGTGGAGCCCCAGATCGAGGGAGATTATCAGTGGTCTTGTATGTCGTCCATTTCCTAATAATTGCTCCCACAGTTGATTTCTTCAAACCAAGCTGCTTACCTATTGCAGATTCAGTCTTCCCAGCCTGGTGCAGGTCTACAATTTTGTTTCTGGTGTCCTTTGACAGCTCTTTGGTCTTGGCCATAGTGGAGTTTGGAGTGTGACTGTTTGAGGTTGTGGACAGGTGTCTTTTATACTGATAACAAGTTCAAACAGGTGCCATTAATACAGGTAACGAGTGGAGGACAGAGGAGCCTCTTAAAGAAGAAGTTACAGGTCTGTGAGAGCCAGAAATCTTGCTTGTTTGTAAGTGACCAAATACTTATTTTCCACCATAATTTGCAAATAAATTCATAAAAAATCCTACAATGTGATTTTCTGGATTTTTTTCCTCAATTTGTCTGTCATAGTTGACGTGTACCTATGATGAAAATTACAGGCCTCTCTCATCTTTTTAAGTGGGAGAACTTGCACAATTGGTGGCTGACTAAATACTTATTTTCCCCACTGTAGATGGCATCATGAGGAAGGAAGATTATGTGGATATATTGAAGCAACATCTCAAGACATCAGTCAGGAAGTTAAAGCTTGGTCGCAAATGGGTCTTCCAAATGGACAATGACCCCAAGCATACTTCCAAAGTTGTGGCAAAATAGCTTAAGGACAACAAAGTCAAGGTATTGGAGTGCCATCACAAAGCCCTGACCTCAATCCTATAGAACATTTGTGGGCAGAACTGAAAAAGCGTGTGCGAGCAAGGAGGCCTACAAACCTGTCAGGAGGAATGGGCCACAAATTCACCCAACTTATTGTGGGAAGCTTGTGGAAGGCTACCCGAAATGTTTGACTCAAGTTAAACATTTTAAAGGCAATGCTACCAAATACTAATTGAGTGTATGTAATCTTCTGACCCACTGGAAATGTGTTGAAACAAATAAAAGCTGAAATAAATCATTCTCTCTACTATTATTCTGACATTTCACATTCTTAAAATAAAGTGGTGATCCTAACTGACCTAAAACAAGGAATTTTTACTAGGATTAAATGTCAGGAATTGAGAAAAACTGAGTTTAAATGTATTTGGCTAAGGTGTATGTAAACTTCCGACTTCAACTGTATATACAGTAAGTCATGTATGAAACGCTAGCCCATGTTTTTTTGGATATAGATCAATATTGGTGAAATTTGGGTATAAATTCAGTGGAATTAGGCTTGACCACTTTAGGAACACAATTTCTATCCCATTTGTCTGACAAATTCACCACCTACAAAATCTAATCCCAAACTTCAGACCTTACAGATGCTACAAGTATTTTACCTTTTACCCTCAGCTGAGAGGAAGTCTTGGATCTTCCCACAAAGAAGGTCACTAGGCCAGAATCCTGGGGCGTTGTGTTGACAAAAACTAGAATGTGAGTTTTTCCAAAGGACTTCAGGATTGTCTGATGAGTCTCACGCAGCTCCGTCCCCTCTTTATACCAGTGTATGTCCATTTCCTCCTCCTCCACTTCAACACAGAAGGCAGCATTTTCCCCCTCCAAAACATCCACCTTACGTGGAAGTTTACGCATGATTGTGCCTACAAGGGGACAGAGTAAATTGTAAGGACATCAATAGCTGTGAGAAAAAAAACTGCGCTGAGAAATGGGCGCGTTGTACTGTGTTGTGATGTCAAACTGTAGGTGTGCCATATTTGTTCATTCAATTCAACCTGATCTTACATTAATTTCCTAAATTCACCCCAACCATGTCATGCTAACGATGGCTTTCTGTGTGTATCAGTCCAGATACTGTGTGTGGTACATATAAACACAGTAGATGTACAGTATTTACCTTTAACTGCCACCTCAGCAATGCTCCTCCCCCCATCCGCCATCTCGCAAAGATAAATCCCATCATCGTCGACTCCGATGTCACGAATAGTGAGTCGTCGTTTTGTTCCCCACTCTTCCATCCCATATTTGGCCCCTGGCTGTAGCCGCCTGTCCTCCAAATACCATGTGATGGGAACAGAGTCCTCAGGAACCTCACACTCCAGAACAGCCAGGTCCCGTTCCCACACCTCCAGATCAATGAGGGGCTGCTTAAACCGCACAGGCGGCTCTGACATTAAGGAGACGGAGGGATACCATTAAAGGGGTTAATGGCCACCTACGTAGGACTCATTCAAAGGACATGGTAAAAGACAAAATGACTCATATAAGGAACTCATATGTTCCTTTTATCAGAGATGTCTGTGAACAATTGGCCTCAAAGCTCATACAGTAGTGTAACATTTTAAAGAGGTAGCCCTGACACAGAACAAAGTCTACTGACCTAGCGAGGCTAGTTATTTTTTGATGTCACTTTATTGCACTATAATTTGGTGTTTTAGACGTTACCCCAAAACTGTCTTGACTATAGAAAATTATGTTCATTTGTATTTATTGTATTTATTCTATTGCTTTAAATCTTTGAATTGCAGTTTTAAAACATGCTAGAGATGCTACTTTATACAGTGCTAGTTTACACTAGGAATAACTCCTGTTCAATTCAGATAACACTCACTACTGGTCGTGTAAATACTGTCCCATGTGAAATTCAAAAAATAGCTGATAACTGCACTTTGTCTAAAACAATGTTATAATTTGGAAATTGAAATATATTTCATAGTAAATACCAATATAGCAAACAAGTTAAGCAGAATCATATGAGAGAAGTGGCTTCATTTAGTTGGTATGGAAAGACCATTAACACATTGGGGCGTTGGACAGGAAATAAACTGTTTGTAACTGACACCATCAGACAGTACCAGTTATAAACGAAAGAATCTGAACTGCTCTTTGTGTATTTAGCTGACTATATACTTATCCTACCCACAAAGAGCTTGATGATCCAATAATTGAGGAAACACTTTCAACAAATTCACCTATTTAAACCTCTACTCTCATCTGCATTACCAGGATAGCATAGTGTAAACATAAAGACATGTTATATTCTTTCTAGCCTGCCATAGCTCTAACACAATGTTGCTTTCCAGCCTGCCCTAGCTCCAATACAATGTTGCTACCAGTGCTGTTCTCTGCGCCATGTGCGAAACATGATCCCACCTCTAGAGACTTCGATCACATGGACCCCCCCCCCCCCCCCCATCTTTGAAAACCTAAGTGACTTTGCAGACATTGGACCGGTTGGAATCCACTCCATGTCGATGAGCTTGGCCAGGTCAGGTATTTTGAAATATCTCTGGTCAAGTTTCAGATAATTAAGACGTATCTTTAATCCTCTGGTGAATCAGGGTTTGAATTGCTTTGCAGGAGCCAAATGATTTGGCTACTGATTACACTGGTCATATGCAGCTAATTGGCTTGTTAGCGTATTCATTTAGCAATGCTGATTACCTGTTAAAAGGCTTATATATGGTATTAAGTCAAGGGGAGATGTACACACCTGGATGGCGTTATGTTTTATACATGTTATATTGTTCCATGAAAGTCATTCTAGTTCTCTGCTGAAGTCTGTTAACAGCCAACTCTGTAGCAATGGACAAATACCAGTTTGACTTACCTTTCACAGAGAGATGTACAGCACTGAGGGTTTGTCCTGCAGTGTTGGATGCAGCGCAAACATAAACCCCGTTGTCCTGTTGCTTACAGTACAGCACTTTAAGTGTGAAGTAACCCTCTCTGTCTTCATACAACAGGTACCGTCTTCCGGACATGATCAGCCTGCCGTCTTTCCTCCATATTATTTCCGGTTTGGGCTTCCCAGTCACAAAGCAGCGGAATTTGGCGTGCTTGCCCTCTGTCACGGCAAACATTTTCACTTGCTTGGCTTGGTTGGTCACTCGGTCATCTTTAAGCCGCGTGGTCACTTGCCTACCACTCCTCTGTTTGCCTTGATGGCCTTTCCAGTGGCCGTTGGTGTAACCGTTGCGGTTTCCCTCTTCCTCGTGACCCGGGCCTGCATCGACGAGCAACACGGCTCCAGCCAGCCCCTCTCCAAACTCGTTTCTGGCCTTGCATGTGTACACTCCGCCGTCGGGTGCACGAGTCTTGAAGATCTTAAGCTGGAACCATCCCCCGTCCTGGTAGCCCACATTGAAATGTGTACTCTCAAAGATCTCGTTGAGTTTCCTCCCGTCCTTTTCCCAGACCACCTCTGGTCGCGGGTTTCCCCACAGCTTACAGGAGAAGACGGCGTCTTCGCCGCGGCCCACCCGGGTGGAGAGGGGCTTGATCAGGAAACGAGGCTTGTTCTCCTCCCGGAGCTCCATCTCTTGGGCCTCGCCCTCCACCTTCAGGGTGGCCGCGGCATACGTTTCCCCGATGCTGTTCTTGGCCTTGCATGTATACTGGCCGCTATCCTCTGTGGTCACCGATGAAATGATGAGATTGTAGACATTTCCATCCTCGAAGAGACGATAGCGATCCTCTGGGTGGATCTGTTCGTTGTTTCGCTCCCAGATGACCGCTGGCCTGGGGTCCCCGCCAATCTGACACTTCAGGACGGCGTCAGTGCCACTCTGCACTACTACGGGGCGAGGGTAGGCCAGGAAACGCGGTGCACCGCCAAACACATCCATCTCTGCTAGTTTGCCAGCCTCACCTCACCCTAGGCAGGCCACCAGCATGCAGTTGCTCCCTCACTGGAGTCGGGCTGTCCACTTCTGTGCTGTGCAAGGTTCTAAAAGAAAACAAACAGAAAGATACATTGTGCAATAGCTGGCAGACAATGTGATGGCATAGCTGCAGGAAGATGTTTTTTGCCCGCGTTACAGACGGCTATATCAGTCCGCTAATACAGGACTAGTAAAGGACCAGTGCACTTTTGTGAGAATGTTTTTATTTATTAAGATTTGTTTTTATTCTGATTTTTCAGGGGGTGCTGCAGCACCCTCAGCACCCCTACGTCATGCGGCTATGTGTGTTGGTTTCAGATGAAGTTGTCAAAAAATGCTGCTTGTCAACAGAGCTAACACTTGTCGAGCTGCAATCTAATCATTTGCTTTTGAAGATGGAATGGAGCTGGAATGAACAAATAAATAACTAAGAATTGCTTCATATAAAAATAATATAGACTCTTCAAACGTCTTTTGATTCATTCTCTGGATATGCCCAAGTCATTTTCATTTTCAAAAATGTTAAGCGAGCCTTGGAATTTATTCAAATATGAAGGCTAAATCAGGAACGTTGAACTATTCTCACACATTGACCTAAGCGGCCTCTGCTATTCTTAGATAATTATGCTTTCATAAGGAGTGGGGCAGACCCATTCCTCACATATATTGTTTATTGAATAGAGAAGAAATTTAGAGGAGAGAGTTGCTGAAATAGTAGTGGGCCTGATTCGAATCCATGCATAATTTATGTGTTCCAGAGGCAGGGGCTTAGACCACTAGACCACCCTAGCCCACTGATAATTATGCATTTGTAACCATTTAGCTGCTCACAGGCGTTGTAGAATAAATTATCTGTATTATGGCATTTCAGTGGGTGACAAAATATGACAGAATGGCAGTACAGTAGCTATCTGCCATAATACTGCAGTTAAAATGCATTGTAAGATGTGTCATAAGCATATGAACTACTTATGTCTTACTTCATATGTGATTGTGACTATACTACTACATGACTATACATTTCATAGTAAGACAATAAAATAATAAGACAGTATAATGGCTCAAGGTTATAACAAGTAATTAAGCAATATACAAATATGACAGAATGGCAGTACTGTAGCTATCTGCCATAATACTGCAGTTAAAATGTATTGTAAGATGTGTCATAAGCATATTAACTACTTATGTCTTACTTCATATATGATTGTGACTATACAACTACATGACTATACATTTCATAGTAAGACAATGAAATAATATGAAAATATAATGGCTCAATGTTATAACAAGTAATCAAGCAATATACATACAGTGCCTTCGGAAAGTATTCAGATCCCTTGACTTTTACCACATTGTGTTACGTCACATCCTTATTCTAAAATTGATTAAATAGTTTTTTTCACCCACATCAATCTACACACAAAACCCCATAATGACGAAGCAAAAACAGGTTTTTAGATGAAACCCTAACCCTAACTGAAATATAACATTTACATAAGTATTCAGATCCTTTACTCAGTACTTTGTTGAAGCACCTTTGGCAGCGATTACAGCATCGAGTCTTCTTGGGTATGACGCCACAAGCTTGGCACACCTGTATTTGGGGAGTTTCTCCCATTCTTCTCTGCAGATCCTCTCAAACTCTGTCAGTTTGGATGGAGAGCGTTGCTGCACAGCTATTTTCAGGTCTCTCCAGAGATGTTTGATCAGGTTCAAGTCCGGGCTCTGGCTGGGCCACTCAAAGACATTCAGAGACTTGTCCTGAAGCCACTCCTGCGTTGTCTTGGCTGTGTGCTTAGGGTCGTTGTCCTGTTGGAAGGTGAACCTTCGCCCCAGTCTGAGGTCCTGAGCGCTCTGGAGCAGGTTTTCATCAAGGATCTCTCTGTACTTTGCTCCGTTCATCTTTGCCTCGATCCTGACTAGTCTCCCAGTCCCTGCCACTGAAAAACATCCCCACAGCATGATGCTGCCACCATCATGCTTCACCGTAGGGATGGTGCCAGGTTTCCTCCAGACGTGACGCTTGGCATTCAGGCCAAAGAGTTCAATCTTGGTTTCATCAGACCAGAGAATCTTGTTTCTCATGGTCTGAGAGTCTTTAGGTCCCTTTTGGCAAACTCCAAGTGGGCTGTCAAGTGCCTTTTACTGAGGAGTGGCTTCCGTCTGGCCACTCTGCCATAAAGGCCTGATTGGTGGAGTGCTGCAGAGATGGTTGTCCTTCTGGAAGGTTCTTCCATCTTCACAGAGGAACTCTAGAGCTCTGTCAGAGTGACCATCAGGTTCTTGGTCACCTCCCTGACCAAGTCCCTTCTCCCCCGATTGCTCAGTGAGGCCAGGCAGCCAGCTCTAGGAAGAGTCTTGGTGGTTCCAAACATCTTCCATTTAAGAATGATGGATGCCACTTCAATACAATCCTGTCTCGGAGCTCTACGGACAATTGACAGTACTCTGACATGCACTGTCAACTGTGGGACCTTATTTAGACAGGTATGTACCTTTCCAAATCATGTCCAATCAATTGAATTTACCACAGGTGGACTCCAATCAAGTTGTAGAAACATCTCAAAGATGATCAGTGGAAACAGGATGCACCTGAGCTCAATTTCGAGTCTCATAGCAACTGAATACTTGTGTAAATAAGGTATTTATGTTTTTTATATTTTATAAATCTGCAAAAATAAAAAAGTAACTGTTTACACTTTGTCTTTATGGGTTATTGTGTGTAGATTGCTGAGGATATTTATTTTTATTTATTTAATCCATTTTAGAATAAGGCTGTAACGTAACAAAATGTGGAAAAAGTCAAGGGGTCTGAATACTTTCCGAAGGCACTGTACCTATTGGTTTTATATATTTTGTTATTTGCATAAAATGTTACTAAAAGGACAATACAACGTAAGAACCTGGATAACTATACTAGTTCAGAGTATATTTTCTCATTGTACTGCGTGGAGACTGCATAATAGCTTATAGTACTAAAATGTGTGTGTAAAAATACTTTTGTCATTAAAACATTGCAACCATTTAGTATCCATGATGTGTTTTGGGTGATTGGGTGTCATTACTATTAGTGCTAATTGAATTACGGGGGGGTGTGAGACAGAAGCACAAGTTATCCGTTGAGGGGTGAACGGCCTTTACTTTAGTCCTATTGCAACAGCAGCCACCACAACACGTAGCCAGCACAGCTGGTGCTGTATTTCAATGGGAAAGTGCTTAATATAGTATGCCCTAAATAAAGACCTGTGAGAGAGCCTGTGTCAGGTATCACAAAGCACACCATGGAACCCGTGTGCTCACACTAACACAGATCTAACTCACAGTGTTCACACCCCGAGAGACCTTACAGTCAATATATGCTAAGCCTTCATCACACCCGTCGTTGTTAAAATTCGTTTTCTCTGTCATTTTCCAAATAAATAAAATGCAGGGATTAACAAGTCCCTAGCATAAAGACATTATCGTCACAGTGTCATGGCACATTGAACAACCTGGTCCTCTCGATTGTATATATTTTTGGCTTCTTTTGGTAGAAGCATTTGAAGGTTTGCCCTGATGGACATTGGAGCCATCTATTAGTCAGGCTATGACTATTCACTTTAAGCTCAATGTGTATGTTTGCTTTCTGTCCACTCTGATGCATGGTTAGGATCTCAAGGAAGGTGAGCCAAATCTAGAATGCTTCCGAGCCATGTTTGTCATGCGTCCACCAGTTTACTGCATGGGCCACAGTACACGCACACACACATACACACACAGTCAAAGGCACATATAATAAGAGTAGTAAATGGTGATACATGTACTGAATCTGAAATCATATAACTAGAAACCAATATGGCAATGTGTAGTAGTCTGGTTTACCTCTAAAACCATCACTATTCTGTCACCCTTTCAACCCTTTCTCTCATCCCGAACCTGTGGCACGTCAATATGTTGAAAAACCTTTTAATCAGTTAGAACTCGTAATATCCACTTCATCACCTCCAATGGCAGGTGCTAGTAATTATTTCCCTGTTAGCCAGATGTTCCACAGAAATTATTGAGGACAATATATCGAAAGTGGTCTCAATATTCCCCCCGGGGGTTTAAGAGGAGATTAACTTTTGTGTATACTCATCTGGTTTAATTGAAAGGACCCTTGCCCCCAGTGAATCTGCACTACGTATTCCTCACATGACCTACCTCTCTTTGGTCCCAAGGAGCGACCGTCAACATACATTCCGCACTGGCACTCTTCTTCAAGCCACCGAGGCTATATTCCCCGCCTCCAAACTGCTGAGTAATGTCACTTACTGGTCGATTCCTTCCCCGACAGCAACTGTATTCCGGTTGGGGTTCTTTCTCTCAAATATCAACTAACGTGGAGCTTTGTTTTCACAGTTTTCAAGTGATCTGTCAGTACATCTTGACGGGCCTGTGCCAGACCCAGCCAAGAAAAGTAAAGAGAATTTGAGTATTTCCCCCTCAGCGCCCTTTCTACACTCCAGAGCGGTCCCCCAATCTCTGTGGCGTTTAGCCCTGAGACACCCCGAGTGTCATTGTTCGTGGAAGAACGTTAAATGCTTTTGCAGCTGCTGCTGTCCCCTAAAAATACCGTCAGCCTTGATGACAGCAGTGAAGATAAGTTGGGCTCTTCCATTCACTTGCTTGCATGGGCTAAAGATAGCTTTAGCTGGCTGGTTCAGGGCAGACTGCTTAGCTTACTTGAGACCTTGCAATAAAACCTAAGGAGAAGGGCAGTCTTCTCTGGGCTTTAAGCCCCCTCCATGTTGAAGCTTCTCTATGTTTTCTTGTAATTTACCACAATCTAGAAAAGAGGAGGTTAGAAATACTGATAATAATCATCATTGTAGATATCCAGAGTAAGTGGCTGCTGGGTCTGACAAGGCATCCACTGTAAATTGATGCTCTCCGCGGGCTAAAACCATGTGCTTAGCAAGTGAAGAGTGAGTTTTATATTAAAT